TTTTAACTTTCATTTAATTTTGGTATCTTCTAATCGAAGCCAAATAAGCTTGTTTGTTCTGTCAGGCAAATAATCTTAACATTGATTGTTTACGTTAGCTGGTCCTCAATAGACTTTATAGGAGTGATACACACATTGTCATAGAAGCAACTTTTGTAAAGATGTTTTAAAATGTATAAATATGATATGATGTGGATGTGTTACTATATCGGTTTGTATGTTTTGTGTATTCTTGCCAAGTGTTTTGTGAAATGTTTAAGTAATTAAGTGTGAATCAAACGTATAAAAACAACAGTAAGAAGTTGTGTATTTTTTCAGCACATGAAATTGTGTGTTCATTTTCATAGATGTACAAAGGTTACACATATAATTCATAGGTTTGCTGTGCTATTAGGACATAAACAGTTTAGAGAATCTTGAGCCAGTCTCTTTATTTTCCCTCTCTTGTCAAGTTTCCTTCTGATTTTTAGTAGCAAAAGCACGATTTCTACTTTGCTGCTGGTATATTTTTGAAGGGTATTTGTAATCCAAAGATGCTGTCACATGTTCAAATGTATCTGACGATAAATGTAAATTGTAAAAGGACATTTTACATGCCTTCGATGCACGTCGGCAGTTTTATAAGTGACAAATAAGAAATGCTTGACTTTAAGAGTTCAGCATGTTTGACAGCCTGCTGTGGTCACAGCTTTCATCTCTCACTGTGCTCTCTGCCACAGCTACCACAATACCTTATCCTTGTCTTCTGTGTCGCTGTATGCCTCTGTCTCTCTCTCTGCCTCTCTAACACACACACACACGCACTGGTGGTGTACACAACTGTATGCAGCCAAGCCACTTCATAGTCAGAGAGTGGTGGGTGTGCTTCTTTCTCATATGCCTTGGAGGACATTTCATAAACACGAGTGTTGCTAATAACGTTAATGACAATGAGAACATTTAACTTTGGTTTTATTCCAAAGCTCTTGCACTACTGTTACAGGAAAAACAGCCACTCGTTTCCATTTCTTACAATATTGCACAAAAGAAAGAAAAAAAAGCAGCATATTTAATAACTGATTCCAACAGACACGATTTACTAAAAAATAAGAAGGAATAAATGTATTTGTCCTTATTTTGCATTTTTTAAATGACGTAACAATCTGATTTTCAACAATTCCAGTGAAAAATTCAATTAAAGGCCAAAAGTAACAAACCACCTCTCAGTACTTTCCAGTCTTCTTCCTGTGGTATTCAGGCTGTAGTGGCCTCAGTCAGTATGACAGTAAGTCATCACACATCCCTAAAACTAAATGCAGCTAAAAGCAAATGAGCTATCTTAATATTTTAACCTTTGTTTTTCAATGAGCCAAAATCACTTCTGGAAAAAAAAGGGGGCCTTTCCAGTGCGATAATGTGGCTAACTGATCTGAGCTCTATACCACAAGGCTGAAAAGTAAAGTCACACGGTGGCTACACAAACAATTCTCGCTAGACATTATTAGTTAACTGTTAATTGTTTATATATTTGATGGGATCTGGCAATATAAAATCATTTATTATATTACCAGACAGAATATTTCAGATCAAAGTGCTTTTCTTACTGCAAATGAGGTCAGTTTTCCAGAATCTGCTCATTATTGTGGGCGGGCGATAATCAGTTTAAACATATTTTCCTCAGTTAGGGCCAAACCACTGCTCTTTGAGTTTTCTGTGCCCATGTCTTTGTCTTTATCTCCCCCTTTTCTCTCTTTTGCTCTCATACAAACACACACACACACACACACACACACACACACACACACACACACACGCACGCACACACAGCACGTACCGGCAGCACACATTGAACCAAACATTGAAATGAAGATAAGGAATGGTTTAAAAAGCTGACTTTCTCAAACTCTAAGTCTTCTATTTCACACGTTCCTTCCTCACAGACACACACACACGCATGCACGTACGCATGCACACACAGGAAACACCTGTCCTATACGAGCTCAGTACCACAGAAACTGAGTGACACATTAACACATCACATCACCATGCACACTTCTCTGCAGAATAAGACAGTAACACTGTGTCAGTAACATTTCTCACTGACGTTTGATTCCTTAATCCATCTTTCCCATCATTCAGAAGTATTTGTTTACTCCAGGACACAAGGATCCGTTTTTAACCAGTATTGGACTTAACCGGACGTAACCGGTGCGCTGATGTAAATTAAATAAATACTTTGAAATGTGAGCTTCTGTTTTTGCTATTATATTAATAATGTTTATCTTGTGTGTGCACAAATTAGCACAAAGTTCAAATGAAATGATTTATGTTGATTTCCAAAGTTAAGTTTATGTGTATTTCAGAATAAACAGATAAGTGCTTCTGCATTCTGTAGCTAGAGAGAGTTTTGAAACCTGTCCTAATTTTCTGCATTACTGAACAAGCGCTGAAGTTTTAGACTTTTGTGAATAAAGCTGATTGGCATTTCTTGTTCTCTTTAAGATCTGTCCTGCTTCACATTTACATAACCTACAGCTCTGCCAACTTTAGCATCTTTACGCTGTGTGATAAATGAAAGTTAGCTTCACGTTTCATTTCCTTAGACAATAATCACTTTTTAAGCATCTTTTTACTGATGTGGAGGCTTTTGTTTTCTGTTTCATAGATGCAGACTGTAAGACTTTACAGGTTTTCTGTTTTGTTTTTACATTTTCTTCCAATGAATATGCTTGTTTAATACCTTTCTTTCCCTTTTTTCTTACTGTATTGTTGTATTTCTGAATACATGATCATAATTTCACTTTTTGGACTATGTTTTAAATAAACTTGGTTTGTATTTTGTATTTATATATTGTATAAGTACAGAAAACAAGAAGATCTGAGAACAGAATGAGTTAGTCAGATTCAAGCAAACATGGAAGCAGTACTTTAGTATAAGTGTTAAAGATGCCACGACTGTTGGCTGGTATTACAGAGATCTATTAGGTGTAGATTCCTCAACAGCTGAAGATGAAATCTGCTCTCAGTGGCTGATCTGTTGCCATGTTATTAAATTCCTGTTTACAGAGTGAGACCCGGATCTGTGTAAAATTCATTGTCATCCTCAGTGTTCCTGTTAAATGACATGAACATGGGCAAGAAAGTGTCACTGAGATGCACTGAATGTGTGTGACTGACATTTGTCATTAGCTGTGTAACACAGTCGGGTTCAGTGTGTGTGTGTGTGTGTGTGTGTGCATGAGTGTGTGTGTCATACAGCTGGTTGTGGTCATGTACAGAAGTGGATGGGGCTGCAGGCATCGCATTTCACCCAGTGCATGTGTGCTATGTGATACTGCACCTGTATCTGTGTTTGAGTGTTTGTGTGGTTGTGTGTGCATGCATGTGTGATTGTGTGTGCGTGTGTGTGTGATAGCTCCAGGTCCTGTTCCAGTAGCGATTACACACAGAGAGAGACAGTGACAGAGACTAACTGCGACTAACAACTAGCGAAGCATTGAGAGCTTCTGACAGGATGTAAGATTTCGAGAATTTTCTGTGGTCTCGGCTGGCTCGGCTTCAGCGAGGGAGAATGGAGATCAGAATCGAGTGACGCAGGATTAGGACACAGGCTGTCCCGGCGACTGCTTTGCTGAATAATTGATCCTTGGGCCTGTGACCGGTTAAGAATGAGGAAGGCATCGCTGATGGTTTGGATCGGCCTTTTGGTGCGAGGTCAGTTCTTCATGATGGCTCATTTTGATGCCGCAGCTGTCACTAACTGTTGCACTGCTGAGGCGGGAGTTTGCTTTAATAAGCCAAGTTAGATTTGTTACTCTTCATCATCTGTAGTTTCCTTCTCTCTGTTTAGTGCAGCCTTCCATTCTCTTTCTGTGTGTTGCTCCTCAGTGTCCCATTGTGCTCAGGGTCATTATGCCCATAAACTTCTAAACGACCTGATGGAGAACTACTCCAATGCTCTGAGACCCGTAGAGGACACAGACAAAGCCCTCAATGTCTCCCTGCAGATCACTCTGTCACAGATCAAAGATATGGTGAGTAGAGAGGAACGTTTGTGGACGCCCCCTTATGTTACTTAAACTTTTCAATACGAGTCTGGGACGCGTATGTCCAAATCCAAGCCATCATTTCTTTAAAAGCCTGCAGGAGAATATATAATGTGGAAAAAAAATTAAGGTATTTTGTAGTTTTTTAAAAAAATTTAATTACATTTAACAATAGCGAGGTGTATTTGTTCCCTTTTCAAACTGTGAGATGACTGCTATATTAGAAGAAACATTGTGTGGATTTGACCACTGCTTGGCCACACCGGTTCAACCTTTTAACAGTGACATGCACAGTTTTTGCAATAAAATCCAGAGTGGCATTATGCCGAGGTTAACCCTTTAAAGCATGGACAATGAAACCATTGCAGACAATTTAAATAAAAAATTAAATATATGAGTTTTAATTTGTGTCATATTTTCTACATCTGGCTTTCCCCCCTCAAATGTATTGCTTAAAGATGTATTATGCAATTTATTTTGGATTTTCAGAGGAGTAAAAAAAAAAAATCCCACTGATGATGCAAAAGTCCTAAAAACCCAGAAATAATATGCTTCAGTAGGTGTTAAGGGTTAAGATGGTGTGTAATAAAAAACAAATAATGTGGTAACATTTTACATCGATCTGATGACAATCTGAGCTGTAAAGATAAGAAATTTAAGCAGCAGCTGACAGTCACATTTTCCTGTAACATGTTTCAGCTGATTTATTGTACAGTGGTAATAACTCACATACACTCAGCCTCCACTTTATTAGGCATGCCTGCGCAGACTAATGCAATTAAAAATACTCAACTGCTCCATCTTTTTGACACTCAGTTGTGTATGTTTTAGTGCTGAGGTTGCTCTGCGGTTGTCATAATGAAGATAAGCAATGTTGCAACTGAATAAAGATATAATCATATTTATGCTAATTTGAAGAATTTGCAATTTCCAAATGCCAAGCACCCACCAAACCCCATGGTTCCCACACTTAGTCCCCTTTAAACCACCCTGCAGCCTGCTGTGTTAGACCCTCACTGGCTGTTATGAAACTCCACGCCTCCAGTTTGAAACTTAAGCATTCAGTACCAAATTTACATTTCTAAAAGCACTAGCTGGGAAACCCAGATCATTTAACCTTTGTAGGCCTCTTCTCAGATCTGACAAAGAGGCTGTTTTCACAGAGCGTTTTTTACTCCCAGTGGTCACATCTTCAGAGCTACAGATAAAGATGGGTTTCAGCATACAGCCTTTCGGTGTACTGTGAGGATCACACTCAGGATAATGTAGTATAAAGTAGGAGTCTTCAAGTGTGCTCCGTTTGTGGGAGCCATAAATCGAGGGACTGTCACTGTGTCTATGTTCGTGTGTGTTTAGGATGAGAGGAATCAGGTGTTAACCACATACCTGTGGATCAGGCAGGTCTGGCATGATGCCTACCTGAAGTGGGACAAGGAGGAATATGATGACCTAGAAATGATCAACATCCCCAGTGACCTGGTTTGGAAGCCCGACATTGTCCTCTATAACAAGTCAGTAACAAACAAAGACAGAAGAACAGAAAGAAGATGAGGAATCATATTTTTATAGTTAATCAAATGGAAAAGGTGCATCTGATCGAGCTCACGCATTCTTTCTGTTTTTGTCCACTTAGAGCAGATGAGGAGTCGTCAGGCCCATCCAACACTAACGTGAAGCTGCGTTACAACGGAGAGATCATCTGGGACTCTCCGGCCATCACAAAGAGCTCGTGTGTGGTGGATGTCTCCTACTTCCCCTTTGACTGGCAGCAATGCAATCTCACATTTGGCTCCTGGACCTACAATGGAAACCAGGTGTGTCTGCACACAGGGAGCATGCAGAGCAAGAAGGCGACAGATATATGGCTGACAAACACATAGCGTCTTAAATATTTATCAGTATGTTCTCACTGCTGAACTCAGGGATAGAAAGTATGGAAACACTCATGGACACTACTGAGTGAACAGATGAACACAAGCAAAATGTGCTATAGTAGATGTTTAAGGAGCTTATTTCTCCATATAGTTGTGGTAGAAGTTTAAATACACTCATTATGGTAATTTTGAGGTTTTCTTTGAACTGTTGTTTTCCAGGGTGGAATGATTTTCTAATTTTCAACACTGGGTTTAAGTTATTGTGGTGGGTGTTGTTTTTTTGTGATTTAAATGTTCATTTTCTTGGTTTTAACATGATTTCATCATTGTAGTTCTACTTGTTTGTACATATTTCACTGACATCTTTTCATCGTGCTCTTGTATGGTCTCCACATAGGTGGACATCAGTTTGGGCATGGACAGCGGGGACCTGTCTGACTTTGTGGAGAATGTGGAGTGGGAGTGTCACGGCATGCCAGCGGTTAGAAACGTCATGATGTATGGCTGCTGTTCCGATCCTTACACTGAAATCACCTACACCCTGCTCCTGAAGAGGCGCTCCTCCTTCTACATCTTCAACTTGCTCCTCCCCTGCTTCCTCATCTCCTTCCTGGCCCCGCTGGGCTTCTACCTTCCAGCCGACTCGGGGGAGAAAGTTTCCTTGGGGGTGACGGTTCTGCTGGCGCTCACTGTGTTCCAGTTGTTGGTGGCTGAGAGCATGCCTCCTGCAGAAAGCATGCCCTACATAGGTCTGAATTATTTATGGAAGTATGGAAACTGTAGAAAGTCGTAATAAAAACAGGCATAATAAAAATGCATAAAAATTCATTCAAAAATATGAAGCACAAGGTCAAAATTTTGACTGATTTTACACATAAATCGGGGCCCCACTGGTTACTTAGTCTTGTGATTATATATTAAAATTTTGCATGGTATCTCAAGATAAATAAACCAGTATTACCTACTTTTAAGCTACCCATACACTTGACCCTATGTATTTATTATTTTTACAGACTTTTTAATAGATAGATTGTGTCTGACTCTATTTATAAATCTGTAATTTCTTCTATCTTCCTTTTTAGGGAAGTATTACATTGCCACCATGACTATGATCACAGCCTCCACTTCTCTCACCATCTTCATCATGAACATTCATTTCTGCGGTGCTGAAGCCAAACCAGTCCCTTACTGGGCTAAGGTGCTCATCATTGACTACATGTCAAAAATCTTCTTTGTCTATGAAGTCGGGGAGAACTGCACCACGCCAGAAAGCGAGAGGACCCCGCTCTACCCAGAGGAACCAATGGGTGATAAGAGCTGCTACCACGACGACCACTTCCATGATGGCTTCTACTATACTGACAGTGATCCAAACAAATACAGCAATGGGAATGGCGTACATCATCACAAAAACCATCACAAAAGACAAGCAAACGGCAACACCAACAGCAGGCATCACCATTACAACAACCATAACAACCACGCTTCCAGGCTGGAGAGGGGTGACGCAAAGCATGAGCCCACTCAGCGTTACCACCACATCAGGAGGGATGAACTAGATTACCAGGCTCCTCTGCATCCACTGCACCTCCAACACCTGAACGGGGGGTTTAAGGAGCAGATCCTCTATTCCTCAGAGAAGATTCAAGTCCCTGCCTGTCCCTGCTGCTGCCCCTGTATCCAACATAAACAGGTGACACTTCATGCTGTTTCATCCTTTACCACTTTTAAACGCAACTAATATTCATTTAGAAGCAATATATAGGACTTTTATATGTTTAATATTTTTTATTGCCAGTGTGTGAGTGGTAAAATGACATCTTCTCCATGTCTTTGGGTTGCCCCTTACAGCCTGTGAACTTGGTGAATGGGGAAGGATTTTCAGAGGAAATCAATATGGAGTTATTTTCATTTTAATGATCCCTCCCTCAGTGTCTCTCTTCTGCCCATTTGCCATTACGGAACAATAGCTGGCAAGGAACAAGGAAATGTACAAACCACAAAACAGTTTGTTTCATCACAGCATAAACTCTAAAAGAAACTCCAGATAAGGACAGAAACCAATGAGTAATCAATTAATGGGGATTTTTCTTTAAAAATGTTAGCGAGGAAACAAACTAAGATTAATGAGCTAGCTGCTATGTTGGCAAGTCAGAAATCCATTTGTGTTGGCCAGGGGTTAAACTGTGCTTTGTCAGATAGGGGAAACCCTAATATCTGGTTTAGTTGTGCAACCTACAAAAACCACCTAGAAATAGACACAAAACTTTAGAAGCTTATTTCTGCCACTGGAAAGAAAATGCCAGGAAGATTTAGATCAAAGTCAAATTTTTTTTAGATATTATCTAAAAGTTTGGGGTTAAATACCTGGAAATTTCAAGCTACTTCTGAATGATCTATAAAAGCTTGTATTGTGAGTTCCAGTAGATTGGGTTTCTTTCCATATAGACCATTAACACTCTGTTCCTGCTGATCTGAAGCTTACTGATCTTTTGTGATTTAACTGAACTGAACAATATATAAGCTGATCAGCTTAAATATAAATTGATGTCTTGATGTAACCTACACTGACAATGAACGCCACAGACTACCCTGCACCAGTCTAACATATTGCATCACTGTAAACTTCACTACAGTACTGCAAACTAACCAGTTTATCCAGTATTAATCTGTACTAAACCTCCCAGTATTTTCATTGATGACGCATTGATCCAATATCTGATTTTTAAAAAATCATGCGTGATTTAGAAACACAGTGCTGAGAAAGAAAAAAATATGTTGAGGGTGTAAGTGGGAATTGGATATTATTTTCTTTATATTAAGCAAGCATCTCTATGCTATCAGGAGGAAGCAGCACCAGACTACAGCATTAGGGAACCGGTTTCTGTAGAAATAGTCCAAATTCTTAAAATTGTTAGCACGTCTACCTATCGATCCCGTTGTTGGTTCTTGCACTCGTACTACAATCAACTGATTTCAGTTTGCATTTCAGAGGAGGAAAATAGCGACAGTCTAGAGTGTAGATATGGACATTTATTTTATTATTATTGCACAAAAGGACAAAATAAATGGTAAAGTGGAAAACTGCATCCAGGACAGAAACAAACACATCATGCTGCTAACACAACTTTGGCTTTTTGAAAGCATCTGCCAAGAGGGCATGCTAATGCTAAGCTAGTCAAGAATCCAGAGTGAAATCGGAGTGAATGCTGACTCCAGCAGCAAGACCCTGAACTTCAACTGGCAACAAGCCTATGAGCAGTTAGGCTGCATCCTGGGAAATGCTGGAACATCATAACCGGATAGTTCCAGTCCACTTTAACACTTGGAATTGTTGCTAACACTGGCTAACATGAGGCAGAAGAAAACCAAATAGGACAACCTCAAGAGAAAAAGCCGATCCCAAGCTTTCTTCTTGCTAATGTTAGGTAATTTTAGCCTGCCTAACTATCGAATGTAGTGCGAATAAACTAATTTATTCAGACTCTCAGGGCTACCATGGCTGGTAATCTGGATCATTTTAAATGGCTTAATCAGTAAATTAATTTATCAGCAAAGTTATAAATAGCTTGCAAACCTTTTTTTTTATGCATATGCACACCAAAATGCTTCATCAGCCAACGTAAGCCATGGTGCAACTTAAGTGTTGAGTCTGACTGTGTGTTTATCCAAGAATAAATAAAAGCAGTGGTACAAAGCAAGAAACTGTTGCTTTGTACAGATTATAAGGAGGAGACACTGGACTCACCTGACAGCACTGATGGTAGTAAAACTTCCAGGGAAAAATCTTTTTAAAAACCTTATTTGGGGGAAAGCCAGCAATTTGTAAAAGTGTTTTTATTAGACTTCACTGGTGATGTATTCTCATGTCCTGCTGTCATTTGAAATTAAATTAAATTTAGACGATGTTTCAAACTAAGTGTCTGAAAGCATTTCAAGATGGCTTGCTTGTGTTAAAGCATAAAGGACATACAGCAAATGCAACACTGCAACATAACAGCGCTGAACGGTCTGGTATGAACCTCTTGCTGTCATGTAAATTCTAGAAACGTATAGACTGCAGTTTGTCTAATGGCCACAAGTGTCATTAGCAGCAATGGCTTTCTAGATGTTATATAAATAACCATTAAGTGTCCATCTGTCCTTTCTTCAGGTGGTTAAGAACATCGAGTACATTGCAAACTGTTTCCGTGAGCAGAGAGCCACGTGCATCAAGGTAGCAGAGTGGAAGAAGGTTGCCAAGGTGATGGATCGGTTTTTTATGTGGATCTTTTTCGTCATGGTCTTCCTCATGAGCATTCTCATCATTGCCAAGGCGTCTTGATAGCTTCTTCTACTTTTCATCAACACTAAACCTCCAGTCTTGTTACACCTCTGTTCGACTTTAATGCAACGTGAGACAAATGAAGACTATTTTGTCTGCAAGAAAACCGTCTTTCATGTCAGTATTGTGTGTGTGTGTGTGTGTGTGTGTGTTTGTGTGCATGTATGTGAGTGTTTGTCTGGGGTTTTTGTTTTGTTTTGACGTAAAGAAGACGAGGTCACTGCACACAAATCATCCATTTAACCACGCGTGTGCATGGAAAGCCTCTCGGTTAGTTTATGTAAGATCTGTTTGCATGTATCACAGAGCAGTGGAGCAGTAAGACAATCCAGGCCTTGCCTTGAACATGCATGGACTCTATTATTGATGAGCTAACAGCCAAACATCCAGCTATAGGCATTACATTTCTTGCCTTACGTTTTAAGCAACCAGAGGATGCTATTTTCCAGAGTTGGCTACGATGTGGGAGGGAGCACCAAGAGGAAAACCTGAAATACTTTTGAAACAGTGTAAATGTCGATGACACAGCCTATGATGAATCACATCTGTCCTTATAGACACTATCACTGGTAGATCGTGTAAGTTAATGCTGTTAAAGCCACATGAAACTGACATTGGTTTACAAGTTCTCCATACTTGAAGAGAAAAAGTGAACATTTACCTCCTCACAAAGACTTTTAACACACTATCTGACCTTAGTGATACTTTTTCACAATAAAGGGTGATGCACTCTACCTTATTGCTAATTTACACTTTGCTCAATGGCACAATTAAAAATAAACCTTTGATATTGTGTTATTAAAAATGATTGTTGCTCAGTTTGTGGTGGTTTAAATCTTATTTGGTGTGTGTGTGAATGCTGTCCCCTTCTTATTGTCCTTTTTTTTTTTTATATATAAAATGCAGTTTATAAACTTAACATTATATCTTATCCATATCACAGACAGTCATTTTCCCTCACCTGTCTTTTGATGATTAGCAGTCTGTTTGGACTGTAGAGGGCAGGCAACTGAATGAACCTGGTTTATTTTATTTAAATGTTTCAATTCAGAAAAGAGCCTCTGGAGGGCAGATTAGGTCAAATTAGAGACGATTCAGTTACTGACTGAATGAATTAATGAATGAACTTGCATAACCAAGTGTCCCACAGATACTTTAACAGTACAAGAGGTAAAAACAGAGGATAGAATCATAAATTAATGTATTAGCACTTTTTCTATAAGTCAGTACTCATTAAAATCAGGTAGACAAGCATATAAAACACACACACACACACACACACACACACACACACACACACACA